CTGTTGTCCCACTTATATGCACAGTGGAGAATATTTTTGTATAAGATTTAAAACAGGATATGGTCATTTAAACATTTTTAAAAGATTAAAATGGCCTTATCAGCCCCTCCCCTGCCTTTCCTTTTGGGTTTGGTGCCGTTAGGATGTTTTAATAATAAATGTGGGAATCTTTAACCTTGTAACAAGATGGTAAACACAGAATCATTCTCATTGTTATCCTTCTTCTCTAATGGTTTTGTCTGGTGAAAGGTGTTTATCACAAAAACCTAGTCATAGATTTCAAACAGATGCGAAAATTGCAAAATCAGATGAATTAGGAATCTCCTAATCATATTTCTTTTTAATAAAAGTTAACGGTTAGACCCGGGACGCGTCCAGGTGTGGTCAGTCTGCCGTTAGGTGTGATACAGAGACGGGTGGAGCTTGAGCTGAATGTGCTGCGGCCAGATTAGGAACATAGAATAATTTGTATGGTTAAAAGAGGAACTCAGCTTGATACAGTTACACCTAAAATGCTCAGTTAGCTTTAACAAAACACTGCATAAGGTTTGCTTTCTGCTGTATCCGAGGTCTTTTTGCTGTCACAAGATTAAAGCCGGCAAATGATTATTGTTATCATTGTGAGCAATCTTCACACTGCTGTTGATTAATTGATTGATTTTTTGCTGTCACAAGATTAAAGCCGGCAAATGATTATTGTTATCATTGTGAGCAATCTTCACACTGCTGTTGATTAATTGATTGATTGATTAACTTGATTGATCCTACATTGGAGAAATCTACTTGTTACTTCAGCTCAAATAGTCAAAGAATGTGTCGAAGGAAGAAAAAAGTGCATGGATATATATACAGTATATACAGTGAATCCAAATATGATAAGGTTTTTTAATTTTTTTTTTATAGTAGGATCATTATACAGGGTTATTGCACAGGGTATTAACATTGGTATTTATATAGATTGATATCTATATTTATATATACAGTTATTGCACTAGGATCAATTATTGTTTGTTTCTTCAGTGGAAGGTGCATAGGTGACTCATGTCAGTCTTTTGTTTTACTGCTCAGTTTAATTAGATAGGACAGAAACTTAACAACATTGCCTCTAAACATGATGTTAAAGTGACATCGCTGTCAAGCAAATATGACATTACTGGCATACAGGGTATGCAAACATGTAACTTGTCACTGTGAATGAATGTAACATAACTGTAGGTCAAAGTGCTGTCACTCCATCAAAGTTGTGACATCACTGCATGCAGATGTCATATCATTATGTATAAATAAAATCTCAGTGCATGAAAACGTCATCTCCGTTTGTATAAATGTGCTATCCATGTCCCATGAGGTTAGTGCTTGGGGGGTGGGGGGCTCAATGACTGAACTTTATGGCCCTTCAGTGATGGCCGAGGAAGAGACAGCTACATCAGCTCCTGCCCCATATAGAGAGCACAAACTATCTACCCCTACACATCTTCACCCAGCAATTCCCCACTTTTGCCTTTCAGCGCTCAGCCTCAAGGGAAAGTTGGGTTGCGGTGACTATGATTACAAAGCAACTTGCCAGCAGAGGTTCATCTTTGCCTCGGATGTCTCCCCCATCTCAGAGTCTTTCAGGGATGTTGCTCCATTCTTAGATGCAGCACACAAAACTGAGCAGCTGCCTCTTCAGGCTCCTCTTTATTTTCCCACATCGGTAGGCGCTTATGTTTGGAGTCGGCTGTTACTGAGCTCGCTTTTATGTCTGTGTGCAGCTGGAAGCCTGAGATGATTCACTAACAGTACATGTTCTATGGTGCATTTTTATGGAAAGATAAGACTTTGCCTGCTTCCTGTTTGTCATGTGATCAGAAATACAGACTAAACACTGGAAATAAATATGAGTAAAGCTTATATTGATTGATTTCCTAAAGCTTAATCAATCAATCAATCAATCAATCATTCAATCAATCAATCAATCAATCATCAGACACAATCAATCAAACAGAGCTCTGCTTCTTCTCTGAGTCTGCCATGGCTGGCGGTGCCCAGTGGGGCCCATAAACAGTCTGGGAGCTGCACCATACTTGGGGGGTGGGGATCAGATGGAAGAGAATGGATTTAAGGGTTGGGGGGTGGTGATGATGTAGAGGGCTGTGACCCCCTCCTTGCCTCACTTTCCAGCCTGTTGCTCTGGTCCCTTCAGATAAATGAGACTAATTGAATTAGGAACCAAATACAATCAGAGCCTCAATCCAGGAACTCCCTGCATTCAGGGGACTCCACAAAAACACTGAAACCCACCCAAATGAGAGGGCACACCCCCAACACAATAGGACACCTGTTCAGAGGAAATGGCAGCAGGTGCAGTAATGCTTCAACCAGTCATGAATCTTCTGTTCTTTTTCTTTTAAACACCTCCAGCCTAAATGAAACTGGTGGATTGGCTGAAGCCTTGTATTGGTCCTTAACCACAGGCCTGAACAGATACTGTTCAGGGTGAGTTCTAAGGGGCTTAACAACCAGAGGTTCACCTGGAAATAGTTGGACTGAAACTGAATTGAAAATCAAGTTAAATGATTTTGAGACTTAGGAGAACATTTGGTTAAGACTACCCTGAAAGACTTTAGGGAATTCTGGGATTCCTCACAGTTTCCCCCTCCTGTATGTGTCACAATCCCTGGCAGTTCAAGCAGAAACCTGGTTTCCATGAGAACCATCTCCTCTCCTCCCCCGGGCTGTTGCCCAGGTGATCAGCTGATGAGAAGGAAGAGGAGGAGGAAACAGCAGCCTATACCTCAGTGTGAGGCAGCAGGCGCGTGGAGGAGGATGCAGCACCTGGACGAGCGTTGCAGGAGCTAGAAAATCGGCTGATGTTTACAAGGTTTGCGTTTGATACAGTGTTTGGTTATGAATGACAGGCTGATCAATCACCAAGGTTACATGCGTTCTACAGAGAACCTTTTTTAGTGTTCAGGTTGCTTGTTTTTTCCTCTCATGCTCTTTTCTTGTGTTGCTGCTTGTTTTCTAGCACTGCGTGTGCCATATTTTTTGCCTTGGGCTCCCATTTGAGCTTTTCAGGTTACAGTAGTTTGTGTTTGTGCTGCTTTTGAGATCTTTCATCTCAGAAACAGCTGGAGACAAATGTGACAACGGAGAAAGTGTCAGAGGGGGAAGAAAGAAGAAGGGGGAGGAAGATTAATGTGTCTGTGTGGGAAGCTGAAGGAGGAGGAGAAGAGGGAGGAGTTTCTGCTTTGTCCTCGGCTCTCTGCAAAGCACAAAGACAGCTGACAGAGATGTTCTCTTTCACTCTGATGTGACAGAGATGTTTCCTGGTGGAGACTTTTCACTCTGAGAGACTGTTAGGTTGCAGCTGAAGGTTTGCTTCACCCCAGTGAAAATAAAGCATCATGTGACCAGTCAGACAGACAGCAATCTGTAGAAGTTTTAATAGTGGGATCAAAAGCTTTTGACCAATCAGAGCCTGAAGTTTTAATGTAAGTGTTTGTGTTACTTGTTCTGCACTTTTCACCACACAACCCTCCAGTAAATGACTGTTTGGGCTCCAAAAGGAGACATGTGCATTGATGAATATCTGACAACCATTGCTATATTGTTTTTTATGTTTTTCTATATTCCTACTTTAAGGACATTCATGTATGCATCTACAGAAAATATTAAGCAACATTTCACATCTTAAAAGCCCCCATCCTTAGCTGCCACCTGGCTTACATGGTACTCTGAGCTCAGCCTCACCAATTGCAGGTGGAGGGCTCACATGGAGGTGCTCTTCAGTAGCCTTTCTGAGCTTATCCAGTCAAAGTTCCTTAGCCAAAGCATGTTCACCAGATGAGCCGCACCTCCCAGGCTTTACATGAAGATGCCTACTTTTTGCCTTATGTTGTCAAATCATAACGTATTTCCTTCATTTATATTTTTTGATCAGATGGGATAGATCAGCATCTTTAGAACAGCTAAATGTTTCTACTGAAGCAGCTCACATTCTTTCAGACAGAAAAAAAAGAATTAATGGGTGGGGGGGGCATTTGGGAGTGTGTTTCATCTGATTGGGGGGGGTTGGGGGGTCACATTAGACCCCCATGTATACCTAGGACCACACAGCGAGCGCTCCATCCCTCTGTGTTTGATCACAGAGAGCTTTACCCTTCTGAGGCGGTCACACCTCTTATTAAAGCTCAGTCTGTCCCACGCCCCCCTTCTTCGCCGACCCTCACCCCCCTCTCTCTTGGTATTCAGCCCAGGTCAGCAGATTTGAGCCCAGCCCACCGTGGCTCCCTTTTTAATTTGCACCTGTTGCGCAGTTGTCCGGGAGGCGAGAGCTGCAGCGGCTGCAGACAAAGATCATATTATGAACAGACTAATCTCCGTGTAGCGGAGAGGGTCCGAGGGTCAGAGATGGGGGGGGGGATCAAATCTGCAGCAGGAAGTGTGATAAGACGCAGAAGAGGCACTCTAGCAATCTGTGTTCACTGAACAAGCCTGAAATTCTGAGACTGTTCCTGTGGCTGGACTCCCATCTGCAGGCTGTTCCCATGATGTCATGCATCCTCACAGACTTCCAAACCAAACCCTCAACACTGCACACACAATTCACCTCAGTCAGGTTCAACTCAGTTCAAGTCTACAGCTGGAGCGCAGCTGACAGAAAACACCAGACAAAAAAAATGTGATTTAAAAACAAGTCTAAATTATGTAAAAGGATGTTTAAACTGTTGTTTTTGTTATTTCAGGTAAAAATCACAGATCAAAATGTTTCTGCATGTGCATTTCTCTCTGTTTTATTTAAGTCCATCCTGCAAGGTTGTAGGTGTGCCTTTATTTACAGACAGAGTTCTGAGACTAAATGAGCAAATTGACAAATCCAGAAGGCACATTAGAATATAATATTTCAATGATTAGTTTGGAGGTGGATCCACAGTGAAAGGTGGTTCCAGATGTTGTGTGTTTTTTTTATTTTTATTTGCAGCTGTGTCAGCTCCTCCTCTGTCTCTGTTTTTTAGTTGCGAACTATGACACTGTGCTGGAGACGACCTCAGAGACAGATGATGATGACCAGACGCTGCTCCGTGATGACAGCAGCTTCACGGGAGCTGCGGGAGAGGATGAAGAGGCAGGAAGTCCAGTTGGTGTTTCACATCTGGAGGCATCGCCCAGGGTTGGCCACACCCTGCTGTCTAACAAGGATCAAGAGGACTTGGAACACCGAGGAGAGGACAGGTGTATCGGTGAGTCTCTGATCATATCAGCAGCTCAGAGTAAGAGCAGAATAATGTTTGCTCCTCTACCATGTTCCTGATGTGGGGCAGCTGGTGCTTCTGATCATCAGATAGTAGAGAAGACTGTAGAATAATGAGTTTACGCTGTAAATAAATAAATAACAAAGCACAGCTATGAATCCAAAAACCACAGGAGGGTTGGGTTAAAAACCAGGAAACTAAAGGTAGAACTAACTAGACAGAAAGCTAAGAAGGAACAAAATAGGAACCAATGGAGATCAACAAGAACTAGAGAGAATTACATTAAGGAAAACCAAGGAAACAAGCTTGAATAGGGAGCACTAAAATACCCATCAAAATCAGAACCAGGAAACAAGCGTGGAAAAGTACAGAGAGGAACCCATGGGTGAATCAGTTAGAAACCCAGGGAGATAACATGAAGAATAAAAAACAACCTGTTAAGAGCTAGGGAAGAACCAGGTGAAAAACCAAACAATAACAGAATTAGAAGGAGTAGAGTGACCTTTCTGTGTTTCGTTCCTTTAGGGGAGCAAAGCACCGAATATGATGCTGTGGGACCTGAGGCATCTCTGCAGGTGGTGGAAAATGGTGCAGGTGAGATCAATAATCTATTCGGAATGATAACAGCTCCACAGAGAAAGAGAAATAAAGCCAAACTAAATCACTTTCTTAGACAAAATAAAACTTTCATTATTTACGTTATATATTACTTGCACACATTATCAAATCAAATGTAACTGATTGTTCTTTTATCCTCACATTTTTTCTCTCAATCTCAATAAAGTTTATTAAAAGTTGAGCAGTTTTATGTCTTATTAAATAATTAATATAACGTGTTCTAAAATGTTAAAGTCTGTGCTTAGATTGTTGTCCTTAATTTGTGTGTAAGTTTTGATATATGCAAGAAATCAGTTGGTGTAATTTTCTGTTAGTCCCTGCATCTCAAGTGTTTCCTAATTTCCCCTTTTATGCTGATGATCTTCTTTTCTCTTCTAATCTATGTCCTCTCAGGAAGACAACTGGAAGGCATCTCTGAGCTGGATGAGTTGTTCCTAAAACGGAAGCTGGAAGATGACTGCGGTCACCACGCAACTATTGCAGAGTACCTGCAGCGCAGCGACACTGCCATCATTTACCCAGAAGCCCCAGAGGAGGTAACGCGACTGAGCACGCCTGAGGCAGCTGGTCAGGATGAGAGCGAACACGGTGAGAGTATAGACACAATACAGGGTTAAAAACAAAAACGTAAACACTATAAACAGCGAAAATGTGGCTCAATATGAAAATAGAACATACTGAAAAACTTAAGGTTAATCTGGGTGGCTGCTTGGTAGAGAAGGTGACGTGAATTAAGGAGGATTCTCAATATCATGTAGTTTTACAGACCTGGTGGAAAAACAAGCCCAGTGTTCTGAGTATTCTGGGTTTAAAGGATCTCTTGTGACCTCTCATCTCTCCCTGCAGATCTGTCTTCCAGTGCCGCAGACGACTTCGCCCAGCTGCTCACCTGTCCATACTGTGAGCGTGGCTACAAACGGCTGACGTCTTTGAAGGAGCACATAAAGTATCGACATGAGAACACTGAGGAAACCTTCACCTGTCTGCTATGTGCTGAAACATTCACCCAGCGATCCCAGCTAGAGCGCCATATGACCACACACAAGCCTGCTATGGACCAGGTAAGCAAACACATCTGCACAATGTCAGCAAATGTCAGGTTGCATGGAAGGATGGATGGTTTATTGACCTATAAGCTCACAGTCCTACTGTGTTGGGTACCATCTAAGTCCTCCTTGAGTGATTTCTTTTCTGATAACCTGTTAACTTTGGATCCACCCAAATACTGTGAATGCATCCTGTGTAGGCCGATCCTCTTCCTGCGGCAGCAGCTGTGTTTGGGCGTGCAGCCTGTAAATGCAGCTCATCACTCGGTGCTCTAATCTAATGATGAGGCCGTGTTAAACGCTTCCTGCACACGCCTGTTCTCTGCTCCTTAGGATCCAGGAGTCTTATTAGAGTCAGTAACTAAGCTCCAAGTCATTCCATTTTCCAATTACACCATGATCGTAATGGGATTACCTTGTCCGAGCAGTTAGTTGTCAGGATCCTACAGTTCATCAGACCTCCTCACAGACTGAACCAAGACCAGATGGTCTTTTCCCCGCTGGGCTGGAGAATCCTAATCCTCTGAGTGTTTATGAGAGGACTCCCTGAGTTAAACCGTTAAACTGAGAAGAGAGGCTGAAGTAGATCGGTTCGTGTTTCAAAACAGAAACACTTATGTAAACCCCCTGTGCTGTTTAATCACTGCAATGAAACACTCCAAGGTTTTATCAATGGAAAAATTGAGACATATTGTCAATAGCTGCAATGGATGGATGGATGCATGGATGGATGGATGGATGGATGTCACTTCATCCTGTCTACCACCACAAAGTCAGATCCATAGGTTCAAAGTGAATCACATTCCACAAATTTTGTATTTTTATTTAAACTACAGTTTAAATAATAGTTTAAATAGTTAAACCTGTTAATAAGCAGCATCAGAGAAAACACATGAAAGAGGCGTTTTATCACCAAAAAAATATGATTGCTGATATTTGGGTTTAATGTGAAATAAAAAGATTTGAACTCCCTCTCTGCTATGGGAACAGGAACCCCCAACCCCACCCCAACCCCAATCACCCGGTGTTGTTTATTTGTGCATTTGCATTTGAAATGGTGGGAATGCACCTCTACCAGAAACTGCCGCCTCTGAACCGAATCAGCCCACGCTGTTCTCAGAATGCCTTCTGCAATCATTCTTCCAGGAGAATCTCTTTCTATCCTCTCTACTCCACTCCCACTCCTCCTCCCTGTAATCGGTTTCTTCTCTCTGCAGCCATCACTGCTCAGTGAAGGAGCTGTAAACCGCAAGTTCAAGTGCAGCGAATGTGGAAAAGCCTTCAAGTATAAGCACCACCTGAAGGAGCATCTCCGTATCCACAGTGGTGAGTGGAGGATAGGGTTAGGGGAACAGATAAATGGACAAACTAGGAAAAAACTGTTTGGGTTTTCTGATTAGTTTCATAGCTCTTTATGATCATTTACAAAGTACAACTTCCACTCTTTTTTTTACATATTCATACAAAGAGAAGACAGTGAGAAAGGATTTTTTTTAATATATCACAAAGAAACAGATAGTTCCTTTTCATGGAGGCCATGTATAGCATAAAGCCTTTAATGTGGAAATGTTATGTTTTTAAAATTTTTGATATCCTTAGTCATTGGTAATTTGAGGCAATTATACTAATAATCAGGTAATTCCCAGCACTATGTAACTTGATTAGGTGAGAAAAGGAATGTATGGATTTAATCTTCAAAGTTGCAAACGTAAGAAAGAATTCATTTATAGACAGAGTTGTGTTTAGACACAATGGACCCTACAGTTTGAAAGTAATCCCTGTTTTTTTTTTTTTGCAGGTGAAAAGCCATATGAGTGCTCAAACTGTAAGAAGCGCTTCTCCCATTCAGGATCCTACAGTTCCCACATCAGCAGCAAGAAATGCATCGGCCTAGTTGCCCTTAATGGACGAGTACGCAATGGGAACAACAGCAAACCTGGCTCCTCTCCAAACTCAACAACATCATCACCGGGAAGCCCTGCATTGTCCCATCTCCGGCAAAAACTAGAAAATGGGCGACTACTTGGTTTACAAGACCAACAAGGTCAGCTAGACATCAAAACCGAGCCAATGGACTTCAATGAGTACAGAATGCTAATGGCTTCACAGCATGGGTTTGGGGGACCAGGGATCTATCTAAATGGTCGTAGTGGAAGTCCCCTGAGTATTCCAGGCCCCTTTCAACAAATGGGTGGCATTGGGCTTGATCTCCCCCTCCTGGGCTACACTGGACCTCTTGGAAGCAGCCTAAGTGAGGTACAGAAAGTGCTCCAAATTGTGGACAACACTGTTTGCAGGCAGAAGATGGACAGAAACTCAGAGGAGTTGTCCAAGCTCAGGGCTTATATGAAGGAGCTGGGTGCCCAGATGGAGGCACAGGTGATTGGCCACAGTAGTCCTACCAAAAGCATCATTGACTACACGCTAGAGAAGGTCAATGAAGCCAAGAACCTGATTAATGACTCCAAGATGCAAATGGATGTTAACAAAGAGAAACCAAACCAATCAGTTGATCTCAGCAGTGAAGAAAATTTGTCCGACAGACAAAACCAACTCCTGACATTTTCCTGTCAGTACTGCAAGGAAACCTTTCCTGGACCAATCCCACTTCATCAACATGAGCGCTACTTGTGTAAAATGAATGAGGACATCAAGGCAGTTCTGCAGCAGCCAGAGAGCAGTCCTGTTGGCTGCAGAGGGCAAAAGGCTGATGAACTGTCACATAGTGAGGCAGCAAACAGCCCTACCAACCCATTCAAGGAGCACATGTCAGTGCTGAAGGCCTACTTTGACATGAACACTGACCCCAACTCTGAGGAACTGCTCAAGATTTCGCTTGCTGTTGGCCTTCCTCAGGAATTAGTAAAGGAGTGGTTTTCACAATGGAAAAGTCAAAACAACCACATGGACAGTTTAAGAAAAAAAATCCACATTCCTGAACCGGGTGGAGCCGACCATAATTTGAGTCGGTCTCCAGTGTCTCTTCCAGTTGTAGATTTACGCAATGGCTTCATTAACAGCGATGGTTCCTACAGAGTCAAAAAGACCAATGAGTTTACAGCCCACAGGCAGACAAAAGGGGAAAAACAACAAGATCCTGCGGACCCCTTACGAAGCAACACTCCATCACCCTTAAACCTGTCTTCCACCTCATCAAAACACTCCCAGAGTAGCTCTTACACTCCAAACAGCCTCACTTCAGAGGATGCCCATGGGGATATTCCTCTGGATTTGTCGTTGCCCAAACACTTGGCACAGAAGCGACCAAGGCCCAATGGTTTTATCACCGACCACAATGGGGAGCTTTCAGGACATGAAAAGGGATCTGAACCTTTAGAGCTTGTAAACATTAAGAAGGAGGTATTGAGCTCTGATAGTGGTAGGATCTCTATTCATCCGCTGGAGAAAAGCACCAGTCCAATTTTTGGGATTAATCCCTTTGGTGGTGGTCCTATGTATACCTCCTTACCACCCCATGGAGCCTTTTCTCCTGCCACCTTCATAAGTCCTGCCCAGGCCACCATCCCAGGTCTTAGGCCTTATTCCGGTCTTGACCCCATGAGCTTCCTGCCTCACATGGCCTACACCTATGCCCCAGGAGCTGCAACATTTGCAGAAATGCAGCAAATGAGAAAGTACCATCGGAAAGCAGGTTTCCAGGTAAACCTATAGAATGATATAGAAAAATGTCTGTGACTTTTATCACTACTGTTAGTTTAGGTGAAGTTTGTCAACTATATGAAACCTTACTTCTTAGATACAGTGCCAGCCATAAGAGCAAAAGGACTGGAAACAGTGTTAACGTAAAAAATATGTTATGATTTGAGGGCCATTTCTGCAGAGGTAAACTAGAGTTCTGCTACCAATGTTGCATCTCCTTGTAGCTTAGGGACTTTTTGGGCCCTGAAAGTCTTAAACTATTTCTTTGAAGGAGCAGGGAAGTTTCTGGATGAGTTTTCATACCATGATTTGAACATTGCTAGATGATTATAGCTCTTTAAAAGCTTTTAAACAGTGAAAAATAGGGCCCAGAGAAAGACATAATCAAAGTGAAGTCGAAAGATAGATTTTTTATTACATTTTTCTTTTCATTTTAAATAAAAAGTTTGGCACATCAAACTGATTTTGATATGGCTTTAAATTACAAAGCAAACCCCCACCACCACCACCAAAAGTATATTGATAGATATAGCCCTTAATCCATTTTATCACAGTTTGTAGCAACTAGCATCCATTTATTTTGGCTAACTTCTAAAAAAGTCTTTGGTGTTGGCGTGGAAGTGGTGCTGCTCTCAGTTGTTCTGTGACAAGCAATCAGTCACATTACCACAGGGTGAAAAACAAAAACTAATGGGAATTGCTACAGCAAATTAGAACTGAACAACGCAAGTCACAGTCATTATACTAGTATCAAAACTTGTCATAGTGTAAGAGTAACCTTTTCATGTTCCTGATGCCTTCATCTGATCGAGATTTGTTTGGCTGACATAAAGTACGTATATTGAGATTGAAGAGAACATTGGGAGGAAGGAGGAAAATAGGAGAGTAAGGAAAATATTACTACTATCATTGCACTATTTAACAATATTCCATTGGCATGTTGTTGTGCAGCTATACTGCAAATATAAATGACCTTTACTTTAAGAAAGAATGGTTTATAGTTCTTATAGGTACTGGCATCATCAAACACAGTAGAGGACAGCCAAAGGGTATGTAAAGGTTTGGCTAGTGTGTTTTGGTTGGTCAAAAGGGATGGGTTGCATAAGCTTCCAATTTGTTAAATATTAAATCAAATTGATGTGAAAGAGGAAAATCTTGAATGTTTTGACTAATGTATCATATTGCAGCTTCCTGATTTACTTGATAGAAAACAAACTTGATGGATGACTTGAAACCTCCTCTCTAAAAGAAGTTCTCTTTCTGACTATACTTTGACTCCCAAAAAAGTCACCTGAACACTTCTCCTGCACACCCTAGTATATTTTATCCCCTCCCCCACCTGTTTTTTTTATATGTCTCCTGGATGAAGGGACTTACCCAGGTTGGGCCCTTAAGCCCTGTCCAGACTTGGGATCATGGGGGCAGGAGGGGGGTGGCAGCAGAAGGTGTCTCGGAGCATGAAGTCGACAGGTGTGGGATTATGACTGAAGCTCTGTCTTTGTCTCAGGGGGAGCTGCTGGACGGGACGGCAGACTATCTGTCAGGCCTGGATGACCTGACAGACAGCGATTCGCTGCTCTCCAGGAAGAAGATTAAGAAGACTGAAAGTGGTATGTACGCGTGTGACTTGTGCGACAAAACATTCCAGAAGACCAGTTCCCTCCTAAGACACAAATATGAGCACACAGGTATATATAACACTTGGACATTTCTTTTTAATCCCCCGTTCTCCTTTCACTTCTAATTTCTTTACACATTTGTTTTATTCCCCAACCTTTACTTCTGTTTCTCACTTAGCTTCCCGCTCGTAGCTCTTCTACTCTTATTTTTTCTCTGCAGGCTGTGGCCTTTAACACATTCTCTTCTTTGCAGCAGCTTGGTGGGAAGTTGATCACTGAGAAAATGTTCTGCGGCATCAGTTTCAGACTGTATGTGTGTGGAGGGCGGGGTTCAGCTTGTCATTGTGTCTGAGTGAAGAACCTGAGGAATAATTTATAAAAAAAAAAAAAGAGATTTAGCTTTTTATATTAAGCCTGGAAACAGTCTGTGGTAAAGCTCAGTGGTAAAGATAAACTTACTCTCAGCCGTCATGTTTAACATGACAGTAAAAATATAACTCTTTTTAACAGCAAACAGTTTTTACTTTTATTTTTCAAAAATGTGATGTGAAAAAAAAGAAAAAAAAGCAAGATATACAATTAAAACTTTTGTAAATTGTAGAATATAAAGAGAGAAAAATATAGATATAAGACCATGTAGACAAAATAAGGGATTTCCAGGTCTATCCTTTTGCAAAGAAACACATTTTCTGGTATGGGATTTGGTATGGGATTTTGCAGAAGCATATGGGATGAGCTGTAGTTGTCTGTTTTTATTTATTGTTTTTAAAGCAATCCTAAAACAGATAATTAACAAAATTCAGCCTACTTCACAAGTAAATGTACGCACTTATATCTTTTAGTCTTGTTATTATCACAAAATGTTTGATGGCAGTAGAATGATTTATGGTATATGTTTTATAAGAACATTGACATTTAGCTCTAAGTCATTAACCTAACCATTTCTTGCATGTTTGGTGGTTAGAGCATATTGAGTATAGCTGAGTGCTGATCTCTCATCTTGGGCTTTTGGTGAGAAAGTGATGTTGTGTTTGTTTTCTTAACCGAGGAAGTTCTGACCCGCACATTGATATTATGAATCAGTGATTGTAAGTGATTGTGGTCATGTGGTCAAACATAATATAAAGCTGCATGCATCAGATGTATAAAAAGAGATGTAGTGCTTCATTTGCTTGGGGAGCATATCATGTTGATATATGGTTGTTAGCTTATATGTATGATTACCAAATGCCAAAAATCAATCCTAATCTGCAAAGTAAGACCTGGAGTAAATTGTCCCAGTGTTTTTCCAATCTATTATAATCAGTTTGTAATTATCAAGCAGGGTCAAACTCAATTTTGATACCAAGTAGATGCGGAGACACCAATCTCAGAAAAACTATCTGGTACCACGGTATCATGTTTCTTTACTGGATTTTCTTTAAAACACAGGCTAGGGGGGGTTAAAACCAGAACTCTGTTCCATGGAGGTGACAAAATGTCATCCTACCTGTTTTATTCCATCTTTCTCTGCATTGCATCATCCCATCATCATGTTGGCCAGATAAAGCAATCCTAAGCAGGAAAACAGGCAATCAGTATTTAAACCCACAAACTTCATGTTTAATTCAGGAGTGTTATGTAAAAAGTATCTCGCTTAAATGTTCTGGAGGTCTGATGTTTCCTGTATGAACTCTGTTTGCACTTTGTTTTTTTTACATTTTAATGTTTCCTGTTTATTTCTGTTAACATCTGACCTGAAGTTCAACAGCGTACTGATGATGTTAAAAATAACTAAACCTAATTACTAACGGGTTTTCTGTGTTTCATTTCAAACTTACAAACTGAATTTGGACTAAACAAGAAACTAGATTAACTCTAGCTAGGAGGATCAATATTTGCAGCCAGGTCGTGCAAAACAGGGATTTATTAAGTGATGTGAGCACTTTTGTAAAAGCTGGAGTTTTGTCAGATTGCTGCTCTTAGCTTTCAGATGTATGAACGCAATGCCAGGGAAGAAAGAAGGAATGGCAGCCTCTATTGGTCAGTCTGGGAAAGATTGAAAGAAAATGTCCTTTCTTTACAACTTGTAGTCTGTCATTTCAGAGAAATATCACCAATAAAAAAAAAAATGTTTCATTAAAACAGCCACTTTAGATCACCAACAGGAAAACAATCCTATGGCTGCCACAAATCTCTAATAGAATTAGTAAACAAGTAAACAGTCAAGGTGAGGCAGTTGTCTGGTTAAAGTCTTGATATCTACCTGATTGACTTACTGGGACCTGAAGAGAGCTGTACAGGGACACTCTTATGCTAAGTGGTGATGTGATAAGCTATTAGTTAGAAACAACTTATTCTCAAAAACTTGTATTGAATACAGAAACCTAACAGTGTCCAATAAATTATTGAAATAACACAACACCTGACGAATTACAGCTTAAAACATTTTTTTTTAATGGAGTTTGTTTCCAAGCTGAATATGCAGTTGGGGTCTGCACCTATACATTTGCTCTCCCTTAACCTCTTTCACTTCATTGCAACATCTTCATTTAACTCCCCAACACAGGAGCAAAAGGCCGTCACATCGTGTAGATTTTACTGCGGTGTGTGTGTGTTCATCACACACACACATCACAGTCTGCAAGGTAATGGGATGTTTTAGGTTCTCCCAGTGTGTCTGTTGGAACAACCTGGCTGCATGTAGCTGGGAGCTGAGCTTATGTGTGTGGAGCCGTGTTTCTGGTGAATGTGTGGGTGGGATGCCTGATTGGATCGGGTTCTGCCTGTCGGTTGGCAGCAGGCAAACCATCCCGCTCAGTCAGATGGAAGAAATTTCCACCCATATGGAGTCATAGTAAATTCAGCACACAATGTGCGCGTGTGCGTTTGACAACTGTGCAGATTTCCTGCCTCTTCTCAGGTTACATCTGGTGCCATAGTGTTAGTGAGGCTATGCCCCGTGATAACTTTTCAGCTATCTAATGGTGGTCATGGCAAGAAATGGACACAGGGCATAAGCGCACTCCTAATTAGACGTTCCTAATTATGAACAATAGAATGTAATATTCCAAATGAAAGTTTGAGTGAATGGCCATGGTATGGCTTATAGCAGTAGTGTCAAAAGTCAGAATCCTGTAAGGTTTGGATGTTGTCCTGCTTAAACAGGTTTGAGTCAAATCAATGTGTTTTTAGCAAGGCGGTGTAGATCAGGGTCAAATGCTGAAAAGGTTACTGGACCTTCACCTACACCTGTTCACAGTGTTTAATCCAGGGGTTCACATGTGTGACAGAGAAATGTGCAAAAAGCAACATGTATAACTGCCTGACAGTTGATAATGAAGCCAATTTAATGGTCATGCAGAGATCCACAAGGGATGGACTTTAAATGGTTGTTTAAGCTCTAGATTTATCTATAGCTTCAACTTCCCCATCATTGTGTTAAAAGACAGTTTAAAGACAATATCTGAAACATTATCTCTGGGTTGAGGAGAAATAATATTGGACTGTTGTTAACTGGTCTGAGGTGTTTTCTTTGGATAAAAATACATTTATTACTTTATTGGGAAATCCAGCTAGACTGGAGGGAGAGTGGAGAGGCAAAAGGAGGATCTAAAATAATTAAATTTCAAGGTGAAGTTTCCACATTCAAGAAGGATTTGGGGAGGAATATGACATTTCTTGGTGTTGGTCCGCTGTTTTATCAAGTCGAAAGACTGGCATTATTTTATGCTACCCTCTGCTGACAAGCATTTTAGAGATGCTGGTTTTATTTACGAAAAGCCTGCAGATGAACTGAAGGACGCTCTAAAAGCACCCTGGGCTTTCTGATCTGTTCATCAGAGCTGATTGTCTCCATGTTACGCCGCAATGATCTAATGATTTACTCAAATGGAAAACAAACCAAGAACAGAAAGCATAAACTGTACTACCTTGGTCAGCCAGAATGAATTACGTGGAAACCAATTTGGTCTGGTAAACCACCAGATCTGGCCTGACCAATAACAGCGGGCTAAGGGGGACTTCGTGATGTGTCACTCTCAGCGCCTTTTTGCTTTTCTGCTAGCATAACAGCAAGCTGGTGACTGCAAATGATCAATATTTTAATGATGCTCTCGGATGTCCCCAGTAGGATTGAGCTGACCTTAAACCCTTAGCAATGGACGTCTTTAGTGCCATTTATTTTTTTAAAAACATATATTTGCTGTTTCCCGCTTGACATTTTTCACGGACAACAAAATTACAGAAAACAGAGCGCATCGCTTGTAGGTTTGAATCACATCCTAAGTTATCTGATTAGCTCTAACCTAATGAGGCTGACCTTGTTGGTCCCACCTTTGAATTCCAGCCCTATTATATCTTTACCAGACTGATACGCCATGTAACCTCATGTATGTCTGGATGGCCAGGCTAAAATTATATTATAGATGGACTTCAGATTAGACCAACATGTTTGGAAAATATTTTGGATTTTTTTTTTGTTAAATTCTAATTTTGTGAGTATTAGATCGTCATTATCTATAAACTATTAATCAAAAACAACAGAAATAAACAGTCGAAAAATTTTACTGTGTGATGAATCTGTATAATATGCAAAATGTACCTTTTACATAACTGAAATTAAATCTTTGAGGACTTTTTAATTTTTACGCATGTTCTGTTTTAGTTACTTTGATAGATGAGAATTAAGCTTTTAGTTGTCACAGATAAAAATATGAAGACATTTTTGCTGATTTTGTCTCCTGAAGCTGGTTGCTCCGTCCTAACCGTCTCCAACTGTCTCCTCTATGTGTGTCTCCAGGTAAACGTCCACATCAATGTCAGATCTGTAAGAAGGCCTTCAAACACAAACACCACCTCATCGAGCATTCACGCCTGCACTCAGGGGAGAAGCCCTACCAGTGTGACAAATGTGGCAAGCGTTTCTCCCACTCTGGCTCGTACTCGCAGCACATGAACCATCGCTACTCCTACTGCAAGAGGGAGGCTGAGGAGCGAGAGGCGGCAGAGAGGGAGGCCAAGGTAGGACCGCTGGCTGGAGGCCTGGAGCCCACCGAGTTGATGATGAGGAGGGCCTTTCTGCAGGGATTGGGACCTCTCGGTTTCTCTGATCCCGAAGAACAGCCAGAAGAGGGCTGTGGTACCATCTTAAGGGACGGAAGAGAGGGAGGAGGAGAGCAGGAGGAGGGGGGAGTGGACAACAAGATGTACGAGGAGGTGACAGACGGACACGAGGCAAGATTCAGGAACAGAGAGGAAGAAGGGGGTGATGGCAGGAGCCAGATGGACTCAAAGCTCGATGAAGGGGGCAAAGACTCAGCACAGCTGATGGACACTTGTTCACGAGAAGGGAAGACAGACGGCACGTTGGAGCAGGAAGACTGATGGAGGAAAATGGACTGAGAAAAATAAAGATTTGTCCGTGAGGTTCAGTATTTGCTTCATGATGAAGGATAATAGAATGCTGATTGCAGGATGTTGGTCATGAGTCAGATCTATATCCAAACTTGTGTTATACATCAGGCTTCTGGATAAGATCAACAATGATATCCGGAGGGCGTGGTTTACCTAGGACACCTGTTACTCTCTGACATCATACCGATTTTGAAGGCTCCCACTGAGTTAAATCTCTTTATTCAACTAAGCTCTAGTTTATCATGTTCAGTCTGATTCTTTCCAGAAAGCAATGATTTTTTTTAAGTTGCCACCTTTAGCAAATTTTGATTTTCGCAGTTAAATTTACTCCCAATCTATGTAATCTATAAACCCAAGTAAAAAACATGTATGAAACTTGTGTTTGAACTCTGAACTCCCGTTTTTTTTCTTTTACAATTGGATTTTTCTTTTTTTTTCTTTTTAGTAATTATGGATTTAAATATAAATATTATTTTTATATTTGCAAAATTAAAGTAAGCAATCTGTTTAAACATAATTACTTGAAAACTTAATCCAAATTCCTTCTTATATAGACTAACATTAAACTATGTAAACCTACCTTAAATCACCGCTTGTGAAAAAGTTAGTTTTAAACATGTCCTTGATTGGTTTAAACTGGTAAAGTGGTCATGGTGTACAATGGAAAATTTATTTTGATACCCAAAAATGTTGGGTCAAAAAAAAAAAAAAAAGGCACAACAGGTAAAAAGAAACAAACAAACAAAAAAAAACAGTTTACCTTGTTACCTTATTTCCCTGGCCTTTGCATTTTTTTTTTTTTGCAACATTAAGGTTCTCACTTCAAAATTAAACCAAATCTTTATGTTTCTGGTTGTATTGGAGGTAGAAGCTGTAAAGTCTGTAGGACTGAACCTAATAAAATACGAACATTTAGCAGCCAAAGAAGGAGGTGTCCTAATAAAGAGGCGTCCATTTTAGCCTGATTATGTATGAACTACGTTTTTGATTAGTTAATTTTAACCCTTTAAGCAAACCAATATAACCTTCAGTGTACAGGATGGTTGTTGACCTGAATCATGAAGCAGGACTGCCTGGTTTAAAATCCATGTTATGCAAGATAAGAAAATAAAAGTAATAATTATTATTATTCTAATAAACTAAGTGAAGCGCTTGTTAATGTACAGTATTATAAAGGCCTGAAAGCTGTGTGGTGCTCTGATGTTCCTAACCTTTGTGTCTCGTGTTCGATAAAAACCACTTCAGGAAATTGCACTTGGCTCCCTGAATCACTACAAAATAGTAAAAAAATATACATATAAAAAATTTAAAGAGGGAAGCCTGGAACACTCGATCACGTTCTGTCAGTGTTATTGTTGTCGTTATGTCTCCTTTTTATGTGACATTTTTTACATGAATATTTTGATCCAACTTTATTATTCTACCAACAAGCCACATGACTTCAGGCCTCCTAAGTTGTTGTTGTTTTATTTTGTCTGTGAAGGAATAATTGTGATTTTTAAGTCTTAAAATTGAGAGGCAGAAATGGGTGGAAAAAAGGGCTTGGCTGTAAAAAGAGGACGGAGCCTTGTGCTTCAAAGAAAGCCTTATATGCAAACCTTTTACCTGTCTGTTTCTAAAAACCTGCCATCCCTGTGCAGTGACACACCACTCACCCCTGTCCTCTCATCCTTTCAGTATTAAATTAGATACAGTAGATGTCACTCTATAGTTCACAACTGTGCAATTTGTATTTTTTTTTTTGAACATGCCATTTCTTTTTGACAGTATTAATTTTTGAATTTACCAACAAAAATTTTACTTTTTATTTGAGGATTTTCCATTTTATTTATGTGTCCTTTTATATTGCTGTCTTTATTTATTTCCTACTGTAGTGTACAGTATTAGGGTTTCTCCCAGAAGTATATTTTAGTAAAATGGTTCCATCATTGATTATTGGAACATAAATGTTGATCAGGTCGTATATTTGTTTCCTTCATGTTTCATTTCATTTGAAACTACTGATAAAAAAAAAATGAATCTTGGGAACTTTAATACAATAATTATTGTGCAAGCACTGTATTAATAAAAAAATTCCACTTTATTCATTCCTCTGAAGAGAGGATGAACTGATGATGAAGGAAGTCCTGAAATGTCTGAAGTACTATGGTTTTTAATTTTTATTTTTTAAGTTGAAATAAATGTAGCCAAATTAAATTTTAATAAAACTGTGTTATTCTTCTTGTAGTAATTGTATTTTATGTATTACAACTCAAGTGATAATGCTGATATTTTAGTGTAATGTTAATCAAAGAGTGGTGGTCCTAATACAACGTCCACAAGTGTTAAGTGGTTAGAGGAACATTCAAATATATTTTTTCTAAGTTGTCCTGCAGATTATCTCCTTTAACATAGTCAATGCCTGTGCAGTGACTGATGCAGAATCTTTAGGCCAAACTGTTTAACTATAAATTAAGATATTTTACAATGGAAAATCTTTTAAGAACCACATATTATGTTTTTTAGCATAATAGTAGGACTACTCTTTGAGTATTACTTTAGAGCAGTCTTTGGTGCGACCAAATCTGCTTTCAAATAATTCAAATAAACTTGGTTATATACAACAAGTGTTTTAAATGCAGAATGACTGAAACCCTGTTATTTTCGAGAATAGAAACGTATGAAAAATATTTTTCTAAGCAAAGCAAATTGAAAGCAATCGCCCCCATGGAATTTGTGAACCCGATACCCTTCTTTCATACCGCAGATGTGCAAAGCCCTTTCAAAGTTTTCATTATAGAATGAGTTACAGTGAGGAAAATAAGTATTTGAACACCCTGCTGTTTTGCACATTCTCCCATTTAGAAATTGAAAGGTCTGAAATTGTCATCATGGGTGCATGTTCACTCTAAGAGACATAATCTTAAAAAAAATCAGAAACACAATATATATATATATATATATATATATATATATATATATATATATATTTTTTTTTTTTTTTTTTTTTTATATTTTTTTTTTTTTTTTTTTTTTACTATTTCTTTGTATGATGCAGCTGCAAATAAGTGTTTGAACACTTGTCTATCAGCTAGAATTAGACCTGTTAGTCTGCCTTCAAAATGTCCACCTCCTCTCCATTTATTATCCTAAATTAGATGCACCTGTTTAAGGCCGTTAGCTGCATAAAGACACCTGTCCACCCCATACAACCAGTAAGTTTTCAACTACTAACATGGCCAAGACCAAAGAGCTGTCCAAAGACACTAGAGACAATATTGTACAGCTCCACAAGGCTGGAAAAGGCTATGGGGAAATTGCCAAGCAGCTTGGTGGAAAAAAGGTCCACTGTTGGAGCAATCATTAGAAAATGGAAGAAGCTAGATATGACTGTCAATCACCCTTAAAAAAAACAAACAAAAAAAACCCTTTTGGGGTCTCAATGATACTAAGAAAAGTGAGAAATCAGCCCAGAACTACACGGGAGGAGCTGGTCAATGACCTGAAAAGAGCTGGAACCCATGTTTCCAAACTTACCGTTATACAATAAGACATCCTGGTTTAAAATCATGCATGGTTAAGAAAGTTCCCCTGCTTAAACCAGCACATGTCAAGTAACCAAGAAGTGGCTCTGTAAGAAGCACATCAAGGAAACAAAGGCAAACCAAAAATTAACACTTATTTGCCTCTCTGTCACACAAATAAAATTGTTTAAAAAAGTCAGAGATTCTGGATTTTTTTTATTTTTAGGTTATGTTTCTCACAGTGGACATGCACCTACAATTACAATTTCAGACCCATTCATGATTTCTAAGTGGGAGCACTTGCAAAATAGCAAAGGGTTCAAATACTTCTTTTCTTCACTCATATTCCTCTCCTGAAAATTAAACTAAACATTTAGTCAAAGAATGCCATGTTTAGTTCAGCTTATTAAACAAGTAGATAATAAATCCAATAAATTATTTGTGTTTTATTGTATTCATTTTAGTGACCTTGGTGTAAAAAAAAAAAAACGTGACAAAAAAGGACGCAGTACTGTACTCTAGCACTTATTTCTTTTAATCATTACTAAATTTGTAAGCGTTTAAAAAATCTCATTAAGAAGTTATGGGAAATTGTGGCTATAATTTTTAAATTAAAAACAGAAAAAACGACATCGATCAATTTTGATAAACCGTTTTATTACCATAACTAAACGTTAAATAAACACTAAAACTTCAGCATTCAGAGTAAGTTTTATTATTATTATTAAAAGAAGTTGTAATTCGTCGGAAAGTCCGACATTTTTTATTCATTTCCTTTTTCTCATGAAAATGTGTAAATGTATTAGCGTTTATCTCTAAGCATTAATTGCATTCCAAAGAACAAAAAATAGCAATCAATATCCGCCATTGTAATTGGACTGACCGTCACCCTTCTGTAGCGACGTGATGACGTCAGCCCTTGCGTGACCCTTGAGCGGAGCGTCAGATGCTGCGAGAAGAGGTGAGTGTTTGTAGGGCATCTAACCTGGTTGTCCTCTGTTCATTCACTGTCTGACAGGGTCCGAGTCGGTATGGGGTTATCATTCCCCCGGTCGGCGGGGTTTTATTGACACGGAGCCCGGAAGAGGGTTCGGTTCGGCTAACGGAGCTAATGTAACAGCTCCAGGAAGTAGTCGGCTCCATGAGATGTCACTGAGATTGCAACTTTTGTGTGTCAGTCTTAAAGTAACAGTCGGATGAATACATTGGTCGGGCAGCATAAAGTTAAAGTTACAACAAAAAGTTAAACTTAAAACCTAAAAAAATTAAACTATTGAATATATCTTGTCCTGGGGCTGAGCCCCAGGACAAGCTCAGAGACAGCAGCATGTTTGAATTCAAATTGATTGAGAAGCAATGGGAATGATTTTCTCTCCTATTATCCACAAAACCCCTCCTGCTGTCTAGTTAAAGCTGCAGGAAGGTTAGATCAGTCCTCCACATATTGAATATTATTCCTAATCCATAAACTTTTGTGGGATTCAACATCTTCTAATATATATTTTGATGGACCACTGCTATAGTGTGACATTTATATGATGAACTGCATCATGCTCACTTTGAAGGACTCTTTTTTTCTTCGGTTTAAATGTTTAAACTGAATTAGAATTAGGATGAAATTGATATAGACCTGAATTAGAACAAAACTGTCTTTCTTTGTCAGCATATTCCATGTTGAGTGTGAAAGGTCTTTGCAAAAGTATTTGAGCCCCATTAAACTTGACATGTTTCCCAGAAATGTTTCTACCTCTTAATATCCCCTCATTTTGGGAAATCTTCACCTATTTTGCATACCCAAATGGAAAAGCAAATAACCGAGGAACTCTAAGCCCAAATTACACGTGTGATACATTATTTGAAAGCTAACACCTTCTAGTTTCTGAATATATAGGCCTACATGAAAATTGGGTGAGTAAAACACCCAAGCTGCATCAGTTCAAACATGATTCAAAGTTGTTTTTTTATTCTCGAAAACAGTAGGTCTTTTTTTGAAAATCAGTAATGAAGACAAACTTGCTTGTGGTGGCTGCTTTTTCGTGCTACATTTTGACATGCAGCTATATCTGTGTTGTGTTTTGGTGCTCGCCATGTCCATAAAATGATCTAGGTGGTTGAATTGTGGAGAATCTAAGCTTTCCAACGATGTCTTAACATGTCTATATTGGTAAACATTTTATCAGTGTAATTTTCATGCATTCTTAGTGATTATTTGTAAACGCTTTAAAACTGCTGGTTTTGAGAGGTTATACACCACACGTGTGGTGAAATAACGTGGTAAGATGGATCGATGTGTTGAGCTAAAGTCTAGTTCCACACATTATGGAATCTTTTCTATGAATGGAGGGCCATTTAGCTGATCCTTTTGAGCTGATTGGGCAAAGCGACACATAGTACCTCCTAACCAATTGTTGATTTTTTTCCAATCATGTTAGCAAATGAAATAGCAGCAGACACCTTAAGAAACCACAGCAACTTTTGCTCTCCGCAATTTTTTTTTCAAAGATGAAATTCTGACAAAGCAGATGTGATAGCAGTAGCTTACTCATACGTCCTCCTTTGCTGCATGTTTTTTTTTTGGTCGGGCTGTCTGCAAATTGATGACCTGTTTTGGTTTCGGACTAGAACGATATCAGCTGCAGCGCTGAAAGATACTTTCTCATGGATTTGTGAGCTCACAAATGCTTCAACAATTCAGCTTAAGTACAAGGTTATTAGTGAAAAGCTGCCATGTGAAAGACTAGGGGTGTAAATAATAATCGTTGTGTATCGATGCATCGATCCAACAGCCGACAATCCGATGCAAAGAGTATGGATTTGAGTTTTTTTTTTTTTTTCCTCCGGTCTATTTTTATCCATTTTCTCCTTGACGTAATTCTGACTTCTGTCCTGCGGTGGCGCTAAACCTATTTTGCCATCTTACCTCGCTTCCTTTAGCCACTAGTCTCTTTTTGCATGCACAAACACACCCGCGTATACAGTAGACAAGACAGACATGGCGGAGGAAGAAAAAAGATGACCTGCACACTCCTTGCAGGTTTAAGTCATTTGTGTGGAAGTATTTCGTGATGTATTCTTGAGTATCGAAAATAATGGAATCGTTGGGTCAGGTAATTGATACTCAATGGAATCGTCATGAAGGGTGTGATTTACACCCCTATGAAAGACTAACTAAAAATGAAAATATAATAATTATTTGATTCATAGTTCCTATAGTTACAGCTGCAGGTCTTCTGGGTTCTGAAACTTCACCCTTCATTCTTTGCTTAATATCTCTGGCCTTTTCAGTGTTTGTAGATATCAGATCAAGTCTTTTTGTGAATCTGGAGTTTTATTGATATTCAGTTATTAAAAACTGAAACAAAAAAAATGGTGATCTCACAAGGCTAGATTTCCAATATTATTTCTGCCTTGAGCTGAAACAATAGGATTAATCGTGATTAATCAATTATTGAAATAATTGTCAACTAATTTAGCAATCGATTAATCCTGAAATGGAGTAAAGAGAATCTAAAACATGCCTTAAGCCTAAAGAGCAAACCAATTAGAACAGTAATTATACCAAAATTGTAAAAAAAAAAAAAAAAAAAGTTTTTGCTATTTGGCATTTAAAATAATAATAAAAAAATTTCGTCTGTCAATATGTTCTATCCAGAACTCCTCAAGTAGAAAAGTTTTATTTCTACCCGGTCTAATTATGGAAAAATATATTAAAGTGAATATTTTGCAACCCAATTATTTATGGATTAATCAAGATAATTATTGTTAGATTAACAAAATAGTAAAATAATCATTAGTTACAGCCCTATATACAACAAGGAATGAATATGACAGTCGATGAAATGGTTGCTAACTATATATAATTTAAAAAGAGGCTAAAATCATCTGTTTCCACTCTGAGTAATTTGTGAATCTCGAGTTTAATGAAGTCTTTACTGAGTTTAGTTAAAAGAGGTGTTTTCATTCTGCGAGCAGTTTCTGAGGTGTCATGTCTGTAGTCACAATCTCATTACATCAGTCTGCAATATGAAACAGGACAAAATTCAGCTGGCAGTGATACTTTTACGGGTTTCTGACGCATTTCTGGTTTCTCTTTGAAATCAAATGAGGGAATCTTATCAGGACTGAACAACATGCAGAACCATTGTACCTTCAATGGATTTTAGTTCATTTTAGTTAATTGGAGGTGAACAAGGTTTTGACCTGGTCCCCACAGACATTGGTGTTGGTGTACAGCAAGCCTAGCGTTATTGCCTCAGGTTCAGCAGGTAAACATACTAAGTGAAAGGAACAGAGGGCCAGGAGACATGATTAAAATCCCTGGTGATCAAAACAAGGGCGTGAGGGGGCTGTGTTTGGAGTCTTTGGTCACAGTGCGGTTGATTTCACAAGGTCCTGGGGGCTTCTTATAATTGTGGTAACACCTTTAACCCAGTAAGGTGTGAACTACTGCATGCAGCCTCATGCTAACACCTATACCCCATTTACACTACCCTTGAAAAACAATCCATGCCACGACCGGTCCGAGCTCGGATCAGTTAACCAGGCCGAGCTTGGTTCTGACGACCGTTTACACATCACGCTATCTTGGTTCCGCGACTCCTCGCCTCCTAGTGACGATCTGTTGTTTGCCAACCGCCATAAAACACAAGAAGAGAACATTTCGATTGTTGTTTATAGTTGTTCTTCTTCTGTTTTGTGTTGGTTGGCAAGCAACTTCCAGAGGGGCATTACCGCCAACTACTGGAATGGAGTGTGAATCGGGATGTGCAGCCAGACGGAGATGACACGTTCTGCTCATGTGCTCTTGTTATCAGTGAACCGAGCCAGGGAAAAACCGAGCCGAGCCCACCTCTGGAACTGGTCTGCAGTTAGCGTGGTCCGGTTGTGTCTAGCTCGGTTCAGTTCAGTTTGCTTTCCATTCACACACGATAAGTTATCTCAGTTACTGAGGTCGGACTAGTCTCGGCGCGGTTTTTCAAGGGTCGTGTAAATGGGGTACTAGTCACTCAGTGTCCTCAGTGATCCTCCTCTCTTGTTATCTCTCTCCTTGGTTGTCAGCAGGGAGTACATGTAAATCTTCTATATGTGGAGTTAGCACGTTTAGCAACATCTCAGGTATCTTATCTCTCAATGCACCTGTTGATGCCAGTAAGGGCCATTAAGTCAGTCTCACAGTTCCCATAACTGTAAACAGGAAGAAGGGTCTGTACCTCAAGTTGTGTTTCCTGATGCTGGGCCGAGTCTCATGTCTCTTCCCTATACCGCTGGGAGCAAAGAGCTACTAAGAGTTAACCGCTGATCTCAAGTTGAAAACTCTGTTAAAAAAAGTTTTTAAAAAACAGAAAATTAAACTTATCCACAAAACAGTCAGCTTAATTGTGTGTAAGCCAGGCAGGACAGAAAGTAACATTAACAGAAACATTGAAAATGTTTAAAAAGGGAATTTGAAAAGAGAAAAACTCAACTTTGAGTGGGAAATGCAGAAACAGGCTGCCTGCTCAAAGACACCTTAGCATGTAGTGAAGGATAGTGACTTTTAAGCAAAAGTGAGAAGGCATGAAACATATACCGGGAGAGACTGATTCGTTACAAAATAAATACAACTTGTTTAATTTATCAACTAGTTTTAATCTCTGTTTCTTTTTAGCATAACTCCCTATTTCGTTTCTAAATTTGGCAAAATGAATAAAATGTTAACAATAGTCATCTATATATATATGACCTGATTAAAGTCATTGGTAAATTAGGCTTAAGGTCCAACAGTACAGTTTGTAAGGTTTTATCTACAGCGATGTAGTTTTACAGGCTTTTTAAGGAAAATTTATTTTAAGATGAAACTTGAAATTTGTCTTGGACAAACGTCTCTCTCAAGTTATTTCAAACTAACTGTTAAACATCTCTGACCTGTCAACATTTTATACTTCCAGTTTTCTCTAAACACTATGATTTTCACTTTTTAAA